CTCCCCCCTTCCCCCACAGCCCGTTGGATAGCGCTCGCCTTGAGCCGAGTCTAAGACTTCGAAACCTGTGTTAATATCAAGACTACAGAATCCGATAGGTGGGCTCGTAGTGGAGTTTGCCTTATTCACTACCCCCGTTACACTTCCCCCGTTATTAAAGGCCCCCAATGCAAAATCCGCGATATAGCGACAAATCTTTTTTGCAGGGCGCAGGAGTGGTAACTACACGTGGACACGTACGATTCGTTGTCACTGAATATGGAATTGCGGATTTAGGAGGAAAAAACATCCGTCAGAGGGCTTATGAGCTGATTAGAATTGCCCATCCAGATGATCGTCAACAGCTAGAAAAGCAAGCATTCGAACGTCTAAAATGCATGCCCTCTCTTTACTGAGCCATAATAAAACTTTTATAGCCACAAAGGCAGTACAACATCGAAAAACTGTGGACGTGCGCTATTACAGTAACCCTAAGTAATCACAAAAAAGACACTTCACTCACCTAGATACACGTCAGAGATGAACTGATTGAACGACTGATTGAACAAATACAATTGGAAAGTACGGACAGTACGGACAAACAGGGTACAACATCGTGATGGATGGGTGGCGGTGTCAGTAATATCCTCCACCCCCCCCCCCCGGAAACTTCCTCACTTCACACAACTCCCCTTCCTCATCCTACCTACCGTCTTCCTAAGTTTTCTCAACATTCTACAGCTTCCTCAGTCTTCCGCAAAGTGGCATCGAGAACAGGCTGAGAGGGAGGGGAAGGGAATCGTCACTAAACAGCTACTGCTTTCAACTATTGAAAGTAGCAGTTGTAGGGATTTTGTGGCACCGCCAGTTTAGTGGGGAGGCATTGCTGTACTCTCAGTAATGGGCATAGCGCACGCGTAATGGAAAAAAAAAATCAACGACAAAAAATTGAAAAAAAAATCGACCCCTCCCCTCCAGCGACCAGGTAGGACTCCCCCTCCCCCTAGTGAAATTCTCTCACTTGATGTCTGATGATCGTATCCTGAGACTGAAAAAACTCAAAGTTACATTCAGATCCAGTGGCTGGACCGACTGAGAGTATCATTTTCAGTACTTCTAACTCCCCAGCCGGCCTATGTGTTGTTCTGAAAGTAACTTGGAACAAAATCTAGTTGTGAATACGTCACCACTTTTCATCAAACAGTGTAATGCCCTAAATCTGCTAAAAAAACATTCTAAGGTTAACAATACAATACTACTACTATAATCCGTAATAAGGTGATCTATTACAACATAGTACCCAGGTCAAAGAAACAAGGTCATGAAGTCACAGGGAATCTTAGAGAACAATCTATACAATGAGTTCGAACGAATATAATAATGGACCAGCTTCAAATAAAACAACAAACGAACCATGAAATCTCCCTACACGTCTGCGTGATATACACGGTATAAATAATTACAAAACAACAAATCCTAGTCACTAGCAAGAGTAAAAATTGCTAGAAAAGGTGCTAGATTTTTCATGCATGTCTTTCCATGGAAAATCCCAGCAATTGGGGCAACCGGAGGTAGAAACTAACTTCTGATGTAACTCTGTGCGCACCTGCTGCTCTCGTTTGAATTTACCTTCTTAGCGAAGAAATGAAGGCGACTGATTCAGGTCAGGCCAGAGAATGCACAGAAGAACCCGTAAACGCATCGCCACGAGATCAATCCATTTACTCGTAGAGTTTTATCAGGTCTCGAATTTGCGTGTGGACATCTCGCAATGATATTCGTTCGGGACTGAAACGGATTAAAGAAGAACTAAGTCTTGAAGTGAACCCACAAGTAAATATGAGAGCCGTCTGCGAAGCGACTCAGCTACAGGGCAGCGTCTAAGAGATCCACGTTGCGGCGACATGCCGAAAGCGTGCGGATACGCGGTCTTCGCGTCTGCATCTAATCACTTCAGGGCCGCTTTCGTACCTTGCGACTTGGGAGAATACGGAGAATCGGCGATCAACGTTTGGTAAAACACGCCAAAGGCACACTCCTTGAGAAGGAATCGATGGTTTGTTGGTAACAACTAGGAAGAATATGAAAGGAGAACTGAGGTATTGGGAGAACGCGCGATACGAGCGAAGTAGATTGTTCCCATCTACTCCTTTGGTGCACATTCCTGCAAAACGTCGAATCGCCGATTCTCTCATTCTCCCGTGTCGCAAGTCGTCGAAAGTCTCTGATGTAGAAGTACTACACTGTATCTAGTTAAACATTAGGAGTACTTCGTAGTTTGTGCGCGTCATCGCAACAACGGTCTCCCGACCGATATCCCATTTCTAGCACTTCTCCCCAAATCTCAGAGAGCACGTCATCACCTTGCCTCTCAAACTAAACTATAGTTGATATCGTCGCGTCCAACGGGGCGCTAACAGGAGGCGTGAAGTAAGCCCACCATTGCTGCATATTCTACCAGTAGTGGTTCGATCCGGTAGAATACCCCGCGGTAACTATTGGTAGAAAACCCTAAGGCTGGGCTCATTGAACGTTCCCTGACCAGGCCACGCCATCGTTGTGATGATCACAACGGGGGAGTGGGAGAGGGGTCGTATTTGGCTGTTGTTGAGAGGGACTGC